CCTTAGGAAGTTCTTCCAGTATTCAAGCTATATTCTTCATGCTGCTGTATGGGGCTACTTCCTCTTATACTGCCCTCAGTGAAGTCAGAAAATATTCATCCATTCATTTAACAAGTATTTACTACACACTTACTCTGTGCCAAGCATTTTGATACATGCCAAGGATACAGACCTCTGGCTTCATGAGGCTTACAGTTCAGTGAAGGAGATACAGATTAAACAAGTTATTGTATAAAAATATTTCATTGCATATATGTTAAGAAAAAAAAGAAGAAGAAGAAGAAGATAGCAAGAGGGGAAGAATGAAGGGGAGTAAGTCGGAGGGGGAGACGAACCATTAGAGACGATGGACTCTGAAAAACAAACTGAGGGTTCTAGAGGGGAGGGGGGTGGGGGGATGGGTTAGCCTGGTGATGGGTATTAAAGAGGGCACATTCTGCGTGGAGCACTGGGGGTTATGCACAAACAATGAATCATGGAACACTGCATCAAAAACTAATGATGTAATGTATGGTGGTTAACATAACAATAAAAAAATTATTAAAAAAAAATTTCATTGCAACTATGACAAGTACAACAGAAGGGATCACCTACAAGGTGCCCAAAATAAACTGTTAATCAGAACCTGACTGACTCAGGAGGGTCAGCAGGGGACAAACAAACAAGATATCACTGGAACTGCAATCTGAAGGATGAAGAGAGGTGGAGGGAGAGGAGAGACAGCACCCTAGGACATGGAAGAGCCCATGTGGGGTTCTGAGGCTGGAGGGGCAAGATGAGCAATTGAAGAGAAGGAAGAACAGAATGTGAAGTGGGCGGTGGGAGCAGAGCGGATGGGGAGAGGTAGCAAGCTCAAGATCAGGCAGGGCGTCATAGGTCATCTTAAATATTGCGGGCTTAGTCCTAAAATAATGGGATAACACTAAGGATTTTAAGAAGGATAACAATATGGTTAGGTTTTTATTGAGAAACATCACTCAGCACTGTGAGGATAATGAATTGAAGAAGGCAAAAATGGAAGCAGGGAAACTAGTTAGAAACTATCTGGTAGACTGGGCAAGGAATAAGAACAGTAAGATTAGGATGACTTAGCAGAAATGGAAATAATTTTTAAAAATAAGATCTACCTAGGAGATAGAATATACGGTACATACAGGTAGAAGAGAGGGAGAACGAGTACAAAGGGTAACTTGCTGGTTTGGGCCTTGAGTAACTAGATTAAGGATGACTTTTCTAGAAACAGAGAATGCTAGAGGGAAAGGAGCTAGTTGGACTTATGGGGGAATGGGGTACATGAGTCCAGGACTACATATGCTAAGTCTGAGATATCTGTGAGACACACAAGTGCAACAGCTCAGTAGCCATTGGATATACGAGGTACCTCATCATTAATGAACATTATTTAAAATTATAACATTCTACATTCTTGTAATTTTTGTCTTGATAGGGGTATGTTCTAGAATTGTACTGCTCAAAATGGAAGCCCCTGGCCACATGGGGGCTACTTAGACTCAAATTAATTAAAATTATAAATTTTAAAAATTAGTTTCTCGGTGACAATAGTCACATTTCAAGTGCTCAGTGTGGCTTGTTACTTCCGTATTGGTCATTTCCATTACTGCAGAAAGTTCAATTGGACAGCCCTGCCTAGGACATCAGAGGGTTTCCTACAACACTCAGCTCTGATTAGTCTTCTGGTGAATGTTCAACTGCCATTTCATCAACACTGAGAAATCCTACTGTATTTTGTGCTCCAGACAAAGCTTTGAGGTCGAAGATGAAAAAGATATGGGAAAAGAAGATATGATCATCCTTGGTACTCAAGTATCTTCCAACCAATCTTTTAAAAAAAACAGATGAAGGATTAATGTCATTGGAGAGAATATATGAGCAGCCTGGGGGTGGTGAACTCCCATTGTAAAAATACTATCAGATCAATCATGGAGACTAACATCAGAGGAAATTAGGTGCTAAGGAGGCATTAAATCTTCACTTGGATTAAGACAAAAGAATGGGGAATGGATTCATGAAAAGAGAGAGGAGAGTAACCCAAGTGGGGAAACAGTTTATTCAAAAGGTTACACAATATTTGAAATGCCAGCCCTATTTTTCTGAAGGAAAACAGAATCTATGGTGAACTGTGTTAAGAAACAGAATAATGGGAGCGCCTGGGTGGCTCAGATGGTTAAGCGTCTGCCTTCAGCTCAGGTCATGATCCCAGGGTCCTGGGATCAAGCCCCACATCGGTTTCCTGGCTCAGCGGGGAACCTGCTTCTCCCTCTGTCTCTCCCCCTGCTCATTCTCTCTCTCTCTCTCTCTCTGTCTCAAATGAATAAATAAAATCTTAAAAAAAAGAAAGAAAGAAACAGAATAATGGGGTGCCTAGGTGGCTCAGTTGGTTAAGTGACTGCCTTCAGCTCAGGTCATGATCCTGGAGTCCCGGGATCGAGTCCCGCATCGGGCTCCCTGCTCGGTGGGGAGTCTGCTTCTCCCTCTGACCCTCTTACCTCTCGTGCTCTCTCTCATTCTCTCTCTCTCAAATAAATAAATAAAATCTTTAAAAAAAAAAAAAGAAACAGAATAATGGGGAAAAAATCTTTGCATGGACAAGTGGAAGAACAACTAAAGAATCAACCCAACTGTATTATGCTGAGTGAAATAAGTCAATCAGAGAAAGACAATTATCATATGGTTTCACTCATATGTGGGATATAAGAAATAGCACAGAGAATCATAGGGGAAGGGAGGGAAAACTGAATGGGAAGAAATCAGAAATGGAGACAAACCATGAGAGACTCTTAACCATAGGAAACAAACTGAGGGTTGATGGAGGGTAGGGGGTGGGGGGATGGGGTAACAGGGTGACGGGCATTAAGGAGGGCATGTGATGTGATGAGCACTGGGTGTTATACGCAACCGATGAATTACTGAACTCTACCTCTGAAACTAATGATGTACTATACGTTGGCTAACTGAATTAAAAAAAAAAAGAATCAACCCAATTGTGCACTGACTTAACACTGTGGCTAACTCAGATGCTGAGCTAACCATTGGGGATATAAACAGTAATGGAATCCTGATCTCATACTCAAGGACTCCTTGTCTACATAGCTATAACCAACTACCAGGCTGTCAGGATAGAAGGTGATAAAATAGGCTTTACAAAATATGTTCTTGCTCAATAAATATGTACCCTAAACACCATATTCATAATATACAAGACATACATCTCACCAAAAAAACGCATACTCAAAAATTACTATCCACTTAGGTGTGTGACTTGTGGATGGGAGCTCAAATGAGGCAAACACACAAGGATCCTGGACTAAGCTGTGATGAGGCAGAGCAGACATTCACGTGCTTCATCCTGTGAGTAAATGTTCTCACTGTCTTCATTTTTAACCAAAATTAACAAGGCTACATAGCACAGTTTGGGTTCCTCCTTTAAGATTTTAGGTTTTTAAAATGTGTCAATAACATAAGCCACAGCTCAAAGTGTACAGAGCAGTGCTTAACATTAAGTTCAAGGTTAATTTTAGACCCTCCATGAAGGAATGGGGAGATGTGTTACAGGGCTTCAGCCTAGGCTGAGAAGAATTCTCTGGCTTTCACAGATGATAATTGGGTTTCAGGCTTCGGGGAAGACTATTCGGATTTGAAGATGGAGATTGAAACCTCGATGATACCAGCTTGTATGGTTTTCCTTTGTGTTACGTAGCCATGACTTTCATTGAAATTCCATTTTCTATTAAGATTCACTGACATTTCTTTCCTGCTGATTGCTGGGTACTACTACTGAATAAAATATTTGTCTTTAAACATACATGAGCATATTTAAATTCCTTCAGATGTGTTATTTTGCTATGTGCTTTGTATCAGTTTTTATTCAAATAACTGTCCACTTTTACTATGGCTATCTTTATAGAAAAAAAACTCAAATGTATTCTATTTTGTAGTGTTGGGTTTCTGATATATATTTGCTTTAGTTGAGTATACTGGGGGAGTTTAGGCACATTAATCACGACTCAGTAAATTTCTTGTGTTTTATTGCCTGCCGTGAACACGGATGACAGCATATTTCTTTTTAGCCACTCTTTTCAGGGTTATCAGAATACTGCTGCATATTCAGAACTATTTCTTACAAGATTCTAATACACTGTATATCACTTTTATATGATAAAATATTTGTTTAACGTGTGTAAAGTGCCAAATTTTCCAAATCATTTTCCTGTGGAATCAGAATGTGTCTTAAGCACTTAGCTGTCTTTTTCTTTCTTTTTTTTTTTTTTTTATGCTACACTAACAGTATCTATCAAATTAGCCAAGATTAAAAATACCAGCACTACTCAGTACTGGCAAGGGCATCCTCATGCACTGTTGGGAGGAAAGTCAACTGGCACACTTTGACTGCAGGGCAGTTAAGGAAGAGTTAAGCTGTATGCATGGCGAAAAGGGTGAGAAACTTTTACTTAGCAATTTTACATATAAGAATTTGTCCCAGTTATGATACTCATCTCCATTTTGATTAACAACTGCCAAAAATTAGAATGACACGATTGCCCAATAGCAGGAGACTAATTAAATAAATGATGGCATAGCCACATAATGGAACTCTATGTAGCCATTCAAAGGGGTTGTTAGAAACGGATTTGGTGACATAGAAAGGTGGTCCTCATACAACTATGTCTCTGGAATAATAGCATTTGTGTTAAACGTTATACATGTGTGCATATATATAAAGAAAAAGGTTAGAATAATTGTAACAGTTTTTGTTGAAAAGGTATTTTTCTTTTCCTCTTGTGTGAATTTTCTTATTTTTATACAGTAGGCATGCATTGCTTTGAAACACTTATGTAAAAACAAAACAAAACTTGCTACCTCTGGGCACATACTCTTTGAACCAATCTGGCAAAAATGGCCCATATTGGGGTGAATCTGATGACCGCCTTCCCTCCCAGGCCTAGTCCACCTGGCTCAATGGTCCCACACCACCTGCTCACCACGCTGTCCTGGATGCACGGGGTCTGCACAAGCCTCTGGACTGCGTTCTCCACGGTGACTCCCAGCCAGTTGAGGGCCGCCCAGCACCAGAGGTAGTCATAGCCGCCATGCCAGAAGCTCACAAACGCAAACGTCACTGCAGTGGAAAACAGTGTCCCCAGCAGGCCATGCTGGGACCCGCCTACTGGAATGTACACATACCTAGAGAAAGAAGAGGCTGTTAGGAGCCATGCAGTGGGCTGTCCCTTCACTACTACCTGCTTTTGTCCCTGATTCTCCTGTCACACACTGTTAGCGACCGTGTGGAGATCCTTCCCTGCTTCCAGGAGGCCACACAGAGCACTCCTTGAATTCTCCAACACACCAGGAACTGGCAAAAACACAAGCCTCAGTTCTAAGGGGCTTGAGGTTAAATGAACACACAGGCTCGAGAGCTCTCATTACCAGAGCAAAATAGCACTTACAAGAGGCAGGGTGAGGAGTGGTGAATTTACAGTTTCTAAAAGGGGACTGCCCAACCCTGGAAGCCTCATCGCAGAATGGCAATTAAGCTTCCAGTTACATGGGGACACAAACCTTCAAGACAGTTATATATTTTACAGCTCAAACTATTATGTTTACGGTAAGCCCAATATTTAAGCACAATTGCTGCAATCAGGCTCCTAAATAGCAGGAGCTGGGTGCAGAACAGGGGTGCCAAGACCCATTGCTCCAGCTTTCCAGGCAAGTTGCCCAGAAGGAGTAGGGACTTCGCAAGTAAACGGAAGAGCTCTGTGCTCACAGGTCAGCCAAATTATTACCCAAAATGCGCAGCATCCCCAGGGTACGCTCTCTACCGCTGAGGCAGCTATCTGACTACACATAAGCAGGACCACCTTCTCCAATCAGTATGTTCCTGCTAGGGTTGGACAAAACTCACACCTTGGGTTGGTAGAATCTGGAGAGCTAGGAGCACAGCCTCCTGGCAGCACCCTTAAAAAAAAATAAAAGCCATAGGTCTCTGGTCTGTTGGTGAGTGCTTCTTTGTCCAACCTTCTTCCAGGAAGGAAAATGAAATCTTCATTTCCTGAATACACAGTATGTCCCAGGCACGGCACTACACACTTCACACACGTTACGTGTTTTGATTCTTTGAAGCACCATACGGTTTACACCTGCTGTTCCAGCATGCCAGCCGGTTTACAATGTGTCCTGTTTGTATATTAATATTTTGTAGGAAATGTTATTTTTTTATTATGCTATGTTAGTCACCACCCAGTACATCATTAGTTTTTGACGTAGTGTTCCATGATTCATTGTTTGCGTATAACACCCAGTGCTCCATGCAATACCCCGGTGATGGGTATTAAGGAGGGCACATATTGCACGGAAATGTTATTTTGAAAACCATTTTTGAATAGAACAATTTTATAGACAAGTCAAAAAAAAATGAAAACCACTCCCCAGTCAATAAATATTTCAAAAAACTATAGGATAAGTATTTTTAAATATCCTCCTTCACTCTGTGCTCCAGTTTAGTTAAAATTATATGATCAGCTTAAAAAGGCCCATTTTGTAGGTGAGAAAACAGAGGCTGAGAAGTTAACTTGAGCAAGGCACACAACCAGGAAGGGGAGGAGGCATCCTACAACTCTGGCACCAAAGTTCATGCCCTCCATCACACCTACATCTTACACTCCAATCTAAAACCAGAATGCACGTGAGAAAGTAGCCATTTCAGAAATAAGTGAAGCAAATAAAATGTCTTCTCTTATGCAAAAAGAAGACCATCTTGACAACGAAATTAGCAAATACGTATCAAGGGCTCACTACAGATTACGGGATCCTCCATCTGCTGTCAAGCATTTATTTAGGCCTCCAGGGCAGTCCTGGCATTATGGGAAACCCAGAGACACAAAACATTGTTCCTGCCAAAAAGGACAAGTAGAGCTGGTTGTGAAACAATAGCAAACACGTCCCAGCATTAAGCTAGATGATACAGTACAAAGTAGACCAGGAGAGTTTGAGTGTGGAGGAGAAGGGAGAGAATGGAGGCAAGTGGACCGTAGCCTGGCAAGGCCAAGAGGATGAATTTTGCTGGGCAAAGGGGAGAAGGTGGGTGCTGCACCATGGACCTAGAAGAGCTGGACAATAAGCCAGAAAAGCTGGACAACCCCAGGCACGGTAGTTTTAGTTGGTGTTCTGCTGCCCCCTAGAGGCCACTTGGTTATTGGTGCAGAACATTCTTCAGCAGTAGCAAAAAATGGGCCCCAATTCTCTATAGCCTCCTACCTGCATGGTGGGAGTTGCTGCCCCATCAGGGCACTCCATGAGGCTGCACTTCACTTCATACAATGTTGTGTGCATATGTGTGTGTGTGTGTGTGTGTGTGTGTGCGCGTGCGCATATATATATATATATATATATGCATGCGACCTTCTTACACACATGTATATATATATACATGTATGTGTGTGTGTATGTACAGAGGCGGGGGGGAAGGGAAACAGGTGTTCAAACCAATTTCAAAAGTATGAGGAATGACTGCTGTTGACAGAAACTACAGATAATTTTTTTTTAAAAAAAGGTAATACTAATACCAATACTCTTCTCACCCAAGACAACTATTTCATGTTGACCTCTTATTGTGTCTATGTTAAGTTGACTGGCCCTCTATATGTCAGGAAACCCAGTGTAGAATAAAAGCCTCTCATCATTCACACCAACGGTCCTTCATATTGGATTCAACTCCAAGAAGGACACATTCTCATGCTTGTGACGAGGAAATGTCTAGCCCCATAATTACATGCACAGCTATTTTAGGGGCTCTTGGCACTATGGCTTTGTAACTTTGCCTTCCAAATGACAGCCAACAAAAATCTGAGAATTCCTTTTATTCCTAAAATTCATATACGGCAGGTCTCCAAGGACATGAGGCTGCTTATTTTAAACCTGAAGAGGGTCTGGCTTCCAGACTGGAAGGTAAAAATCCCTTCTTCACTCTTAACCTCTGGAAGGCAGGGGGTGCATCAAAAAGGAGAGTAAACAAGTTTTCTTTTACAAATTCTACCAGTCTTGTGTCAGTTCCATGATTAATAAAAACAGAAATGTCTCTCTTTCAGGAAAGCAGTAGTATGACCCCACTCACGGAGATCCACTGCACAGTGAAATTGATTTTCCCAAGGAAGAAAGCTTTCAGCACTGCCTTCCCCATGAAGCAAAAAACAAAAAGATTCTTCTTGTCAGTGACTGTGAGCTTCAGTCTGCACAGGGCCTGCCCCTGCCAGGCGGCCTCAGATGGTCACTGCTTGCAGAGAATGCTGCTTGAAGGAGTTAGCATCCAGTCGCAGCCGCCTTCTTAATTTAAAACCATCTCATGGAACCAGCACAACATAGCAAACCCCCAACTCAGGAGGAGGAACTTCTATAAAATGGAGATGTTATTAATAACGTCTACCCTTTACTGAGTGTCCGTGAGCCAGGTGCTTTATGTATACTATTTCTAACCATTACAACAATCTAGCAAGGAACGAGTGACTACGTCCGGCTTATACAGAAGAGGTGAAATCTGAACCTAGAATGTTCTGGTTTCAGAACTCCCAGGCCTATGTCCTATTTTGCCTCTTTCTTTTTCTTTCTTTCTTTTTTTTTTTTTGGTAAAAGAAACATTTCTTGGTGATATGTTCCTCTTATTTAGCCAAATTTTCAAAGCAGTCTCCACAAAAACATTCACCAGCATTTTACTAACTGAAGAAATGGTCCTTTGTCGGAAAGGAATCTTGCTGGGGAGAAAGATGCTTATTACTTACAAAGGCATTTGGGCCAAGGAGCACTGTGCCAGAAGTCCAGGGGCATAAGTTCAAATTTTAAACAGACTAACTAGTTTCCTTCTGTCCCACAAGCAGAGGTGATACGTGCCATCCTGACCAGACTGGCAACCCGCAGATGTCTGACTACAAAAGAAGGGGGGGGGTAGGCGTAAGAAGTCAATGGTTGGGGGGGGTTGTGGCCAAGTCGGTATACATGAAGGGAGAAGAAAATATGTGTCTCTCTCAGATCCACTATGAAAAACAACTCAAGAATCTGTCCTACAACTGGGGAGAGGGGTGGTGAAAATCCATGGGGTAAAAACATTAATCTTAAAACCACAATGCTCTGTTTTCCCAGAACCCACACAAGAGCTCCCCAGCTTGGCATATTATCTTCAAACTCTTTGCTGAGGCCTAATCCCTGACCCCTCTGATGTAAGAGGAGGTAGGAGACTGAATGACTTGGTTTCTACACTCCCGTGGAATGAGGTGAGGTGGGCTTGCAGGGTCCCAGTTTTTAATTACCTAGTGTTTGGCAGGGCCATTCCATCCTATTCCAGCTCCGCCATAGCTTTCCATCCTCACTTCCCACTGGTTCTCTTGGCAAATCATGAAATCCTGAACAAATGGGGCTTTCATACGTCCACGCCTTTGGTCATACCATGTTCACATCCTCCAACCTCTCTGGTTTTCCAGCTTCTATTCAGCCTAAAAATTTAGTCCATTTTCTATCTCCTCCCAGAAGTCTCTTTCGAATATGTCCACTGTTCTACTTAACCCAGAGCACCTCCTCTTTGTACCACTGCCTGAACAGTTATTCACCAAAAGATGTCTCCTCTATTATACTGTCGTTTCAATTAAGTTGTAAACCTCTTTCCAGAAGGACTAGATGTGTGATGTGTGTACATGAGTGCAATGTGTTATTATATAGTTCCTAGTCAACAGTATTTATTGTACCTAGCAACCTAATTTTCACAGCCTCCAATAGCTTTTAAACTTGTGAAAAATTATCACCACGGCCAGGGACCTATTATGAGCAATTAGGAACCAAGGGAGGATTGTAAGGTCCTGCCCCAGTTATTGGGAGAAACTTCAGAAGACACTTGTTCCTAAAGAATACAGACACTTGAAGGATGCTGAAGTTTCCCACACTTTGTAATCCTACTTCCCCTATTAGGGTCAAAAGCACATGGCTCCAAACCACGATTTCACAGATGACAGGTACTAGGCTTGTAAAGACAAGAACCTTTAGTAGCAGGGAAGGGCAAGACTTCTGGCTGCATTGCACTGTCGGTGAGGTGATCTCACCCTGGCTTCACCTGGGCTCTATGAGGAGCTCCTACTTAAGAGTTCTTCACAGAGCTGGCCAGGCTCTCCTAAACCCAGCTCTCACAGGCAACAGCCCCCTGAACT